CTACAAAAATTTAAATGAAAGTGGCGTTTCTAATGTTCAATAAATCTTGGAATTGTAGTAGATTTAAGCTGTTTAAATCTTGGGATTTTTCTATTTAAGACATGAGAAAACTTATTTCTACAAATATTTTATTAATTAGAAATGTATTAATACAAAAGTTGCTGGTGGAGGGTATTTAAGATTCGGCTCAGCCGAATATAGCACTCTAACTTGTTCATATCTAAATAGCTTTAAATCTTTTCCGTTAATTTAAACTGTTCCACTTTCTTCTATCAATAAAAATCACTTTAAAACTTAAACATGCTGTTTTCAGCCAAAAAAAAAAAAAAACTAACAAAAACAACAACAAAAATCAATATAAAATACAAAAACTAAAAAAATTTAAATTAAAACATAATATAATTTTCACTGTTTTCTATTGGTATTCTGGTGGTTTTATTTAGATTACGCGTAAACGGAAATGAAAATACATTTCCGTTAACAGTTAGTCTAGGGGTGTAACTGTGCATTTGTGTGTATGTGTGTGTGTGCAAAAATTGAGGGCAAATTTTGCAAATAAATGAATGGTTTGTTGTTAGTAGATGGGTATGCATTTCATTATATTACAAATCTTTTTTTATTTTGTTATTTGTTTCTGCAATTTTCATTTGAATTCTATGGTTTTTGTTTTGTTTTCAAAGAATAATGATGACTAGTACGATTACTATAACCACAGCAGTGGTATTGACTATAATGGAAACATTTAAATCACATTATCATTGTTTAGTTTAGTCTCCATTGTAAACACAATGTACTTATAGTTTATTTAAATGCACCCTCAATAATTTTCCAACAAAAAAACAGCAGCAGCAAATACAATTGCATTACGAATAAAAGTTTAGAAGAAATAAATTTATATAGAATCGAGAAATAAATAGCAATGCATATTTGCAATTCATTGTGACTCAGAAATGTTTGTATGGAAAAACATTGAGCAATTTAAGTTGGAATGATTTGAAAAAATATTTTCGATTTGTTCAAAGAAAAATCTGAAAAAATCCATAATCGAGGTATTAAGATTATTGAGTTAACAATAAAAATTATTAAAATTTCCTTATAGATTTAAAATCTTAAATACTTTCCAAAAAAACTCCCCAAAATGTATAAACTTTTTGCTCTCAAACGAACAAAACAACTTTAATTCCTCAACCTACCACTTTAATCTTTAATTTTACAAAAACACTCCTCTACTAAAGTAGGATATAAACAGACAACAAAAAAAAAAAACGACATATAAAACTAAAATTGTTTACAAAATTAGATAGAAAATATTTCTAACGAAAAACTAACACAGAGGGTGGTATACACTGCCAAATACTATTGCAAATGATAGTAAACAAAGTGAATTTAAGTGTATACAGTTAGTGTTTATAGTATTTTACTCCTTTTTATTCATTCGATATGTATATGTTTCAATGAGTATAAACAACTAGACACTAGTGTCTGCAATAAATAGTTAAACACCAAAGGAATAGAGTAACAAAATAGAACAGCAACAAATAAAATGCGCCAGGATTGTTAGTAAACAGAGACAAACGTTCAATTTACGTGCACTTATTTTTGCAAATTGCATGCGGTCATCCATAAATACCTCATACTCAAATAGATTATACTCAAAACAACAACAAAAAAACTTATCCTTTGTAATATACTGGTTTGTATGTATGTGTATGTTTATACTATTTATTATCCCTGCAGTTTGAGGTGCATTAACAAAACAACAACAACAACCGACTACACTTTTGATAACTTAGGGATACTAAAGTAACTACTATTTTCGGCGCTTATGTAAAGATCGACTTTTGTCTGCAATATATTGTCAATTGAATAATCAATTGGATACTACAAGGAGTACAAGTGATTAGAAAGTTGGGTAAAATAGTCCAAAGGGTTGCACCCTGCTAAAACTGCTGGAGTATTATACACACTTACATATTATCTATGTTTAAGTATACACGTACATACCTACAAATAAGTAGAAAAACACGTACCCTGTTTGAAGTCCTGATAACTAATAGTACGGTAAAAAATCACTATGGGTGGTTAATTGTTTTTGCGTAATATAATTTAAGTTTTTAATCTACATATGTTTGTGTGTGATTGACAAGTCATCAAAATGGGGCTTTTGAGGAGTACATAATTTTCTTCTTAGAATAAAAAATCTTTAGGATCGAATCAAAGTCTTAACACAATCTGCTTGTACCCTACACCGCCATAGTGAGTCTCCTCCGTAATGTATCCGTAAAGATTTATTCCGTAGTAGATATGTCACACGGCAAGATTCACTATGGGATAGATCTTTACAGATACTTTACGGAGGAGACTAATTAACTTCAAGGAGCGCTTATTTATGTACATATCGCTCGTTTACTACAAGGCCGACATCAACCAATAAACTTTGTTTTAGATTTGACTTTTACAATAACAAATCACTCGCACACCGATAATAATATTTGACAATGAAAGACATGACACATATTTTCTAGTAATCAGTTCAAAAACTTTTGGATTATGCCAGTCTAGTAGTAAATGATTATCTGCTGTATTTACAATATTCAGATCTTCATAGTAAGATGTGGAATAAAATTTAAGTTACTTTCTGTTCTGGAAAGTTTAGCTAGAATTTTGTCAATGGATGTACTTATATATTCGTAGAATCTTACTTATTAACACTACCCCGCCTATAAGCCAATGATCAGCCTGGATCAGAGATGCTGTGCATTCACGGTATGTTTACCAGATCCTGGCAATAACTATCATTATCGCATTAAGGAGAAGTAACCCGATTATCTCTATGAACCTACCAAAGGCACCACTTTATATTAAGAGAAGCTAGTTGCTACTTAATGTGTTCAACGAAATGTTTAGAGCCGAGTGCCCCAATTAATCTCTTGAAGGAATGCCTAGTTCTTTTTGATAGAGTTTTGTGAAATCAGATGGTTCATCAACAGAATGATGAACCCGTAAGCTTTTGGTAAACTACCTATTGGGACGACTGGGTAGATACCTTACTTACTGGACGGTATGGAGGAAAACAAATGATAGCTCTTTTTATTAGGATAACAAAAATCAGTCCATCATCTGTTATATTTATAATCTTCAGACCTTCATAGTAAGATCTGGATTACATACCTGAATTATTTTCTGGTCTGGAAGGTTTAGTTAAAATTTTGTCAGTAGATCTATCCCGCCTATAAGTCAATGACCAGTCTGGATCAACGATACTGAACGTTTACATGATTTCTGCCTGATCCTAGCACTAACTATCATCAGCGCTTTTAGGAGTAGTGACCAAGCCCTCTAGTGATCGGGGCAATGAGGCGCAATATGAATGAATCGCTAAATCACGACTTGATAAAAATCTCAGGAATGGGGTCGTGTTAACAGAGTCGGTTGAAAGGGTGTAAGACATACTTCACTCCATCTGATCTTCTTACTATTTACACCACTTATATCTGACCGAAAATGGAATACAACTCCCATGTATGGGCTGGAGCTTCGAAGTCTATTTTGGAGCTACTTGACCGCGTACAAGAGAGAGTGAAGGTACTTATCGGTGACAGTAGGATATCCAACTCTATTGATTTACTGGAGCACCGTCGCAACGTGGGGTGTATTTAACTGTTTTATCGATACTATAATGGAATGTATTCCTCTGAAATTAGGGAACTCGTTCCCGATACCCGTATATTTTTACACAGCACTGTAACTGACTGTCATCAAGAACACACCCATTTGTGGTCGATTGGCCAGTGGACCGCACAACACATTACAGAGAAAATTCATTCTTCAGCCGCACTGTACATATATGGAACAAACTTCCTGCAGAAGTATTCTCCGTCACTTTCGATGTAAAAAGGTTTAAATCAAATGTCCACAAACACTACTCCCTCTATCCTCCCTCCCACAAACTATTTTCCTAGTTCCAGCACAATGCACTGCATGAGTAGGGTTCATCCCCTGAGTGCTGGTCCAAGAAAAAAAAATCTAGAATCTAAGCGATTTCATCAACTCAAGGGTCAAATGCCCTACTTTTTGGAAGGTATTACTATATAAGCTACATTTACAAATGGGGATCAATACAACTTTCGAATTCCACAACTGCAAAATAAGGGACATCTAGCTAAGGCTTTACCTCTTGGCAAGGACCCTGCATAGGTTGATAAATTCATAGTATTAGTAAAACACTAGAAGACTTTGCACTTTCTAAGACAAATTATTATGTATCTTACTTCATTACTGGTCCAATCAGTTATTTATAGATACTAGATATACTCTCTGGATCAAAGGAGATCAAACTAGAAATCGGGAAACTGGAAAGAACTCCTATATATGTTACATTTACACAAAATGATCGATATAACCATGTTTGTGATTGTTTTCAAAGAGCAACTTCATGATCGGGATTAGTAACTTAAGGTCTCATTTCTTGGTAGAGACTGCTGTTTAAGCCGACAACTGTATAGTATACGGTAAGGAGAGTAAAACATTGGAACACACAGTTGTTAAAAATACATGTAAATATATTGAAATCGATGTTATGACTTTCCTTCGTAACATTGAGAGGAAACTTTTAAGAAATTATGTCTAGGAGACAGACAACAGGTGTAAAATATATACACCTTTCTCCAAACCTAGGATAAAACGAGATAATATCATTTCTGTTTTCATTTCAAGCTCTCGAAAATGTTGATTATTTTCAATTGATTAAAAAAAGATATTTGTCGTAAACTTATAACCAGACTAACTTTTTATTAGCTAAACAATCCCATAGTGCATTACCTACTTATAGAGTGAAAATATACAATAAACATGCTAAAACTTTTTTTTCTGAAACCTGTAATATTGCAACTAGAGCAAATACACACATATATATACTCCTACTTAAAAATACCACCCCATAAATATAGACATTTATAGATACAATAGATACAACTGTATTAAAAAAAAAAAAAACTTACCTTCGTTCGTCGTAATTGCCTTTTTCCTTTATACCAGGTTATAATGGCATTTGGTCTAGAACCGGTTGATTCACATGTAACTTCATAACGTCTATCAGCCACCATCGAGTTGGGCGGTTCAATAATTTTCACTTCAAGCGGTTTTACTGTAAATACATTAAAGGTTTTTAGTTTTGTTAGTATTTGTGTTCTTATAGTTGTTGTTATTTTTTGCTATTGTTATTAAGTGTATAAATAAATTGTATTATAAAGTTTTCTATTGTTTTTTTTTTTTAGTTTACAAATGTCTAGGTGTTTACTTTTCTTCCCCCCTTTAGATTTGTTGAATGCAAAAAAAGTAAGGAGGAAAAAAATTGGCAACATTTAACAAACATTTTTATATTTTTGTATTTCTATTGTTTTATTTTACACTTTCATAGACTTTTTTTTTATACTTTACAATTTGCATGTGCTAAAAGTAGGTGGTTTTGTGTTAAAATACACATGTTGTCGGAAACTGATAGAATAGAATAACACAACCCTTCTGAATACTTTTTCAAATTAATTTTTATGTCTGTTAAGTGCCTTAAGTTAATAGACAAATTACTTTAGTTTTATAAATGTTGTAATTTATGTTGGCGTGGCATATTTGTATGTCTATATTGTGTTGGCAGCAAGAATATTAAGGTGTAATTAAGCTGAAAATCATCAGTAGAAGTTTTTTGGAAAAGGTTTGGCATATTAATTAACTTTTGACTTGATAAATTAATAAATCAAAATTGTAATTTAATTACAAAAAGCTTTCCACAAAGTTTGACTGCAGCATGTGTTGATTGTGACAATTCGTCAATATTTTGATTTCGTAAAGGAAGATTGTTGAACAGGAGAAAAATTTTACTGCTTTATCAATAACTACTTTAAAAGACCTATAAGTTAAAAGGAAATTGAATACTTCATATGGCTTTAATTTCATCTTGTTTGAAACTTTCCATATTTAACTAACTTTTTTTCTATAAATCTTTTAAATACATTAATAATCTATTATTTACTATAATTGAAAATGTATTGAACATTTAAAAGGAATATATGTTAGAAATACATTTTATGATGATTTCATTTTCTATTTTTATTTAAACTCCTCAATTCAATTTCTTTGATACACCTACACAGCAACAACAACAACAGCAAAAGTAACCATTGAAAAACTTTAAGTTCTATAATCAAAATCTATTTAAATATTATTATTATATATACAGCACATGCTGTTATGTCTACTTATTGAAAAATTCCCTCAGGAGTTATTAGTTAAACATTTTCCTTCCATAACGAATTTTTTGTTATAAAAAGGAAATCAACATAAAAAGTTAAACTCATGAATTATTAACGTAAAAATATTAAAAATACGAACGTAAAAATAATAATAATAATAAAAAAACGAAAATCTTTATGAACCATAAATTCATAGAGTATTAAGTCAAAAGTTTTTTTTTTTTTTGGAAACCAAAAAATAGCTGATGTACTACTTTCCGATTGTTGGAATAATAAAGAGAATTACAAATAAGTAGATGATAAGTAGTGGGTATTTTAAATTAAAGTATACCCTACTCTAACTAGTAACTTCTACAACCAAGTTTACCAAACTTAAGTAATAAAGCTTTCACCATTTTCAAGAGTGAGCCAACGGGCGAGAGATGACATTTCTTATTCCACGATCATATAAGACAGACATGGGCTAAGATTTATCTTGTTTTCTCACATAACTATGTATTAAAGTCTCAGTTAGTTTCTATATTTCGTTTAGTCAGGAATCAGACGATTAATTATTGGCTTAGGTATACAAAACAAAAATCTCACTAATGATTTCGAACTAATTACTTAACCAGATTAAGTCAAGAATCGGAACGTAGAAATTAACTGTACTTTAATACACCCTTTAATAACTTTCGCTAACTCTCTACTAATGCTAGAGTAAAAAGTTAATACATTTTTACTTTTGTAGCAAATTTAACCCTTAAAAGTACAGGGGTACACACACGACTTATTTTTATAGTTTTCAATATTTTCTAATCAAGATTTAAAACAAAATTCTGTCCATTTTCTCATATACGTATTGTACTAAAAGGAAAATGTAAGCGAAACAGTTGAAAGGAGTTTAATAATACTGTAATTTAGAATGTCCCGAGGAACTACCTTTTTGAGAATCTCATGTAGGAATACATCTCAATCGATGCGTAATAATATACTGAATACGAGAAACATAAAAAATATTTTCCCTACCATCGATTAGAAATATTAATATGCGTAATATGAGTCTCAAAAATTCTGCAATTTTGAACCGATATGTTAGTTAGTTAGTTAGTTAGTTAGTTAGTTAGTTAGTTAGTTAGTTAGTAGTTAGTTAGTAGTAGTTAGTTAGTTAGTTAGTTAGTTAGTTAGTTAGTTAGTTAGTTAGTTAGTTAGTTAGTTAGTTAGTAGTTAGTTAGTAGTTAGTTAGTTTAGTTAGTTAGTTAGTTAGTTAGTTAGTTAGTTAGTTAGTTAGTTAGTTAGTTAGTTAGTTAGTTAGTTAGTTAGTTAGTTAGTTAGTTAGTTAGTTAGTTAGTTAGTTAGTTAGTTAGTTAGTTAGTTAGTTAGTTAGTTAGTTAGTTAGTTAGTTAGTTAGTTAGTTAGTTAGTTAGTTAGTTAGTTAGTTAGTTAGTTAGTTAGTAGTTAGTTAGTTAGTTAGTTAGTTAGTTAGTTAGTTAGTTAGTTAGTTAGTTAGTTAGTTAGTTAGTTAGTTAGTTAGTTAGTTAGTTAGTTAGTTAGTTAGTTAGTTAGTTAGTTAGTTAGTTAGTTAGTTAGTTAGTTAGTTAGTTAGTTAGTTAGTTAGTTAGTTAGTTAGTTAGTTAGTTAGTTAGTTAGTTAGTTAGTTAGTTAGTTAGTTAGTTAGTTAGTTAGTTAGTTAGTTAGTTAGTTAGTTAGTTAGTTAGTTAGTTAGTTAGTTAGTTAGTTAGTTAGTTAGTTAGTTAGTTAGTTAGTTAGTTAGTTAGTTAGTTAGTTAGTTAGTTAGTTAGTTAGTTAGTTAGTTAGTTAGTTAGTTAGTTAGTTAGTTAGTTAGTTAGTTAGTTAGTTAGTTAGTAGTTAGTTAGTTAGTTAGTAGTAGTTAGTTAGTTAGTTAGTTAGTTAGTTAGTTAGTTAGTTAGTAGTTAGTTAGTTAGTTAGTTAGTTAGTTAGTTAGTAGTTAGTTAGTTAGTTAGTTAGTTAGTTAGTTAGTTAGTTAGTTAGTTAGTTAGTTAGTTAGTTAGTTAGTTAGTTAGTTAGTAGTTAGTTAGTTAGTTAGTTAGTTAGTTAGTTAGTTAGTTAGTTAGTTAGTTAGTTAGTTAGTTAGTAGTTAGTTAGTTAGTAGTTAGTTAGTTAGTTAGTTAGTTAGTTAGTTAGTTAGTTAGTTAGTTAGTTAGTTAGTTAGTTAGTTAGTTAGTTAGTTAGTTAGTTAGTTAGTTAGTAGTTAGTTAGTTAGTTAGTTAGTTAGTTAGTTAGTTAGTTAGTTAGTTAGTAGTTAGTTAGTTAGTTAGTTAGTTAGTTAGTTAGTTAGTAGTTAGTTAGTTAGTTAGTTAGTTAGTTAGTTAGTTAGTTAGTTAGTTAGTAGTTAGTTAGTTAGTAGTTAGTTGTTAGTTAGTTAGTAGTTAGTAGTTAGTTAGTTAGTTAGTTAGTTAGTTAGTTAGTTAGTTAGTTAGTTAGTAGTTAGTAGTTAGTTAGTTAGTTAGTTAGTTAGTAGTTAGTTAGTAGTTAGTTAGTAGTTAGTTAGTTAGTTAGTTAGTTAGTAGTTAGTTAGTTAGTTAGTTAGTTAGTAGTAGTTAGTTAGTTAGTTAGTTAGTTAGTAGTTAGTTAGTTAGTTAGTATGAAAAATCCTACAAAAATCTTATCAGGCTTAATATACCCCCTTTTTACCTTCTTAATGCTTTATATCCCCAAATATCCTTTTTTCTCTTCTACTAAAATAACGATTAAATGCAATTTTTTAACAATATTATTCCCTCTTCTTTTCTCCATTACTCTATTTTTTAAACAAATTTGTTGCCCTCATTTTTGCCTCCAGCCAACATCCATGTTTTTTATGGAAAAATTTAGCTGATTTTTCTTCTGTTTTTTTTTTCTCCAGAAAAATTTTGTGTTTTATGTGGATGAAAGTTTGTATATGTATCAGTCTAATACTTACAATGCATATCCAAGATGAAACTTTTTTCCTTGGGTTTATCTAATTGCGTATTCAATGCCTGGCATGTGAATACGGAATTTAAATCAGTACGTTGAACTGATGGCCAGAGTAAACGATTCTCGATAACATCACCGGAATTGTGTTCATATTGGTTGTCGACCAGTAGACCATTTACAAGCCATCGCACTTGTGGCTGGGGGCGTCCTGTATTGTGTTGTTCGTTCCATTGTTGGAGTTTTTGTGATCGTTGTTGTTAGACATTATTGTGGTTATTTGTTGGTGTAAGAAACCGGCAGCAGCAGATTTTTATTAGTTTTTTTTCGTGTTACATGTGTTGGTATGCGTTTTTTTCCATTTGGTTTAGAAAAGTGCGAGCATAAGGAAGGATTTTCATGGTTGGCCACAGCAACAGTAGTAGACATTATAGAATTTGGTAACAAATACGAATGAAAAGGGGAAAAAATTGAATTGAAAAGAATATGTTAAAAGTGAAATAGAAAAGGAATTGTTATACGTTTTATTTCTTAGCAAACAAGCAAACGAACGATTGAAAAAATATTCATCCAGTACAAAATATAGTTTTCTGTTGGGTAGTTTATTTTTATGTGCTCCAGTTTCTTATTTTTTCACACAAAGTCTATGAGTTCATCACTGTATACTTCACTATAGTCCTGGCAATTGTACAATGCTCGCATGTTAGTAAATATGTATTGGATGTAAGTATGTATGTATGTTCATACATACATATGTGTGCTTTTAATGCTTTTGGGAAATTAAAAGGGAAATTGAATTCTTAAATTACTATCAAAAACGTATACAACGGACATCTAGTAGCACAAAAACACATTCTTACAAACACTCATAGTTAAACATGCCGTTCACATACAAATATGGCCTCATAAACTCTTTTTCTTCTTCTTCTCATGTTGTTGTTTGCTTATTTTTTTAAACGTATAAGTAACAATAAAAACATTGAAATTGAAAATTATTTGTCCGGAAATACCAGCTGCAAAAACTTACCTCCCACCACACGACAGGTAATAACAATATCATCACCTTCCTGTTTTGGCCCTAATTTTGTACCATTTAGTTGACGACCCCATCGATCTAATATAATGGGTTGTTCTGGAAGAACTGCAATAAAACGAAAGAAAATGGTAACTCAATATTAATAGTTATAAATGAATTTTATAAAATGGGTTATATTTATTTAAAAAAAAGTTTGTTTTATTAAATAAAGGAAAATTGACAGACTGTAGCAGAAATTTTGTAACTAAGGACTAGTAATGGAATTGTTATGGTAGCGGATATTGGTTTATGCAACTACAACTACGCCCAGGGGGAGTTAACTTCATTATTAATGAAAAAACTAATTCTTTTGGTACCAAATTGGTTAGATAAAACAGATGATCCACTAATTTTGATATTGGAAAAAATCTTTTTATATTTATATGCAATAGTATTGTAGGTCAGTCGAATTCTGATTTCATATCAACAAAGTAGCAATATTGTAGAGTAAGAAGTAATTGCTGTGTCCAACAATATTTAGATATGACACACTTCGAAAATCTATGTTTGTACGGATTATGTTAAACAATCGACCATGTTTATAGATGTAAGGAAGTCTCAATGTCTCAATCAGTTCTATGGTGTGGACAGAGTCTTCCAATTTAATCGATGTTCATATATTGAATGGCTTCTACTTCTTTCTTTCAGTTTCAGATTCTGAATAGTTCATTGAAATTATGAGCGTCCCATTTAACAATATTAAGCCACCAAACAATATCACAAGCTACCTGACCATTCAATACTTATGAAGATCAGCTGAGATTTCTTAAACGATATAAACTTTTTCGAATAAAGCCCATTGAAAATGTCAACATATCAAGGCCGTTGACATCGATCATCTCTTAATTAGAAGAATTAAACTTCCATATATTGAATAATCAATTACAAACTGATCTTTCAAAGATATGATTCGGGATTGTATAATGAGGTGTGTGTATTTATTAAGCATTCTACTCAATAGAGAGAAAGCAAACAACTAAAGCAAAAAATCATCTAAAAATGTCTTGTATTTTCATCTTTTTAACATAATTCATATGTACATATTTATATATAGTATTAGTAAACTTTTTTTTTTTTCATATGTATGCTATTCAGGATTTGCCTCTGTAATATAGTTTAATTGGCCTATTAAGGCTTTTATATTACTTTGTTTGAATAAATAAATAAAAATAAATAAATCGATCGCTAACAGATCATTCATTTCAATGTAAGTAGAGATCAGTGTGATATCTTAAACGATATAATTTTTTCCAATACAGCCTATTCAACATATCAAATATCCCCCTGGGACATGTTTTCTTGATGAAAGTCCCTCATCTTGGTGTATTGCAATCTCGGTGTAAATAAGTACTACCAGTCCCTCTAGTCTGCCAGGACTATAAACTGGTGATGTCATTTCACTCCTCGGCTAGTCCTTGGAATAATTTGGCATGGGGTCTAACCAGAGAACCACATAATCTGGTATTACAGGTAGCCAATTGCCCGCAGGACTTGTCCTGGCTAGTCAGTTGGTTGAGGTTCCTTCGGGATCCACGTAGTGGATGTGGTTTAAACTCAAATTCGCGGGAAGAGTATGTTGCTGTTAAAAGACTGATGCACGGTGAAATCTATATTTCGGGATAAGTTCGGTACTGTTGCCGAATGACAACAGATTCCTCACAGAGGAGTGACTGTGGTACTAAGCGTTGGAAATGAGTTGGTGTTAATTGTATATGATACAGGATGAATGTAGGGGTATACGGAAATCATCCGCCCGTATACCTAGAGTGAGTCTGTCGTATGTTGTTCTCTTATGAGTGTGTCAGTGTGAATATGAAGTGCGCTGGGTTAAATGGTTATGGATAAAAGGTATCTTATACATGTGATATCATTGAATTTTCATTCCTTGTCCAGGTATGTTCAGAGTAAACCAAGTTCATATCAGATTTACCACAGTGTGTCACTATGAGTAAGAACAAAGTTTCGGCATACGTCTCTAGGTGCTGTTGCCGACTCAACAGAGGCTATCCCATCGGCGTCGTTGTAAACGGAAGTGATGTTTTAGCATCTCGGAAATTAAGCAACGGGGAAGCAATGGTCAGAGATTAGATAGTTCAAATACTTGAGCAAAGTGCACGTATACTGGACCGGAAATTCCATATATAAATTAATCGTCACAAAAGCTCACCCAGTGGTTGAAAAAGATGGCGTGTCATAATGTCCAGTGACATAATGTCCATGGACGTTATGACGCACTAAATTGAGTCACAGTGTCCATGGACGTTATGACAATTTCAAAAGTGTCACAATGTCTATTAGCAAAATGACATAAAGTCCATGGATGTCAATGAGTCCATTTATCAAGAAAAGCCTAATTTAGCGAAGCCGCTTTTCGAAATATCCCAGAGTTGAAAACATCTGCGCCCGGCCGAAGGCCGGCTATACGGGAAACTTTTTTAAAGGGATCCAAATCTTAACATACGTCAAATTTCGGAGCAATTCTTTTCGGGATAAGAGTGTCCCCTTTCTTAAATTCTTAACAAATTTTCCAACACATTTCTATTTTAAAAGTGTCACAATGTCCATGCACATTATGACACTTTTAAGAATTGTCATAACGTCCTTGGACATTATGACACTTTTCGGTGTGTCGTAATGTCCATGGACATTATGTCACTGGACATTATGACACGTCACCGTTGAAAAAGACCTCCGTGAAATAGGCCAACACGGCAGGTGTTCACGTAAAGCACTTCGACATTACTATCAAATATCGAGTGCCGTTAACATCGACCATCTCTTACTGGATCATTGCTTAACTCTGGATCACTGAACAAAACTTAGATTACAATCAAAATATCGCTCTATAACTCAACATCTCCAAATTTTAAATTTTCTATAAATTCGAATAGAAGCACAAATTTTTTAAATTTTAATATTTTTTTTTTTTTAAAAAGGAGTAAATCCACAAAAAAGTTTGTGGCCTACAGTCAACAATGAGCCAAAATATAAAACAAGAAGAAAGGATTTTTTTAGAATTGATAGAAAGAATAGAATGTATACAAAAGTTTACATAACCCGATAGGTTACAAGAACTGTTAATATAGAAATTTTAGAGAGGTAACCGGTATGTTACTTGTACTATATTATATGTTACCGAGGGATATATGTATACCAATTTGTATATGTATTTTATACAAATAGATAATGTGGAGTATTCGCTACAAATACTAGAGAATTACTTTAGAATCGATCAAATACGTAAGACCCTTCCACATCTGTCGTTCCGCGAATTTTAGCTAAAGTTTTTAATTTATTTTAAATATTTTGAAAAATTCTCTATAAAATACCTTAAAAAAATCTGTCATACTAAGAAATGCTACTAACAACCATAAAAATTTTACTGAGAAATATATAACAGATTATATTTGTTAAATTTCTTTTGTTGCTCTGTTAAGAACTTAAGGTATTTAAATAAAAAGCGTTCGCCATTATGTTTAACGATGTTGACAAAAAACGAAATAATTCAAGAATCTATAAAAGTACCAAAAAGCATAACAAAACAGAAAAAAGTAGCAACAACAACAACAACAACAAATTCAATATCAACAATAAAAAAAATTGTATGGATAGTAATCAACTACAAGGACATTTGTTCATTATTTTATGCTGTTGCTTTGATTAAATGTGTTTTATTTTGTTTACGTTGTCCTGTTTGCTGCTTCTTGCTTTATTTATGAGTGACTTTATTTGTATATGAACATATACATATACACACACTCCACTACATTAGTTTCTGTTCCGGTGTTTGCATGTGTATTAATTTTCTCATTGGGCCTTAAGGCGTACGTGGTGGCGTATGGAGAAAATCATCATAAAATCAATTGCTATAATAGTACTAAGTGTAGTTATTTTATTTTTACTTCCTACTTGTTTGGCTGTCAATGTTTTTTCATTTATTTAACAGCTTTCTAGTCTATAAAAAATAAAGTAGACGCACTATAAAAAAATAACAATAAAATACAACAACCAGCAATAGAAATAAATTGTGACTAGTATTTTGAAATGAATAAATAAACACGAGTAAATAATAAACTCTTTCTATTTTCCATTTGTTGTTTAGTTCAGCTTAAATTAGAAGCCCTCCAACCAGGATCTAGTTGTTTTGATAGATTTTAAATTGAAAAAACGACTGAGAGAAAACATTAAAAACGTTTTATTTCTTTAGCAAAACTTTCGTATAATAAATTATATTCTATTTCTGCATAGAATGTTCGTGGTGGGGGTGCTTGTTTTATAAACTTGTTAGAAATTCTATGACTGTAAAAGTTTCTTATTAGAAATCCAGACAGTTTCCATTTGATTTGTTTTTATGCATTTTATTCTCCAACTTCTATTGCTGTTGAGTGGAGGAATGTGTGCGCGTGTATTTGAAATATATTTAGTTCACAATACCGTGACATTTTTATGCCAGCAATTGTTTTGCTGTATTTAAGTTGAATTATAAGTTTGTGCATAATAAAATGTGATTGATTTGCTTTTATTTGGAAAAATTTAATATGAAGAAAGAAATAAATAAAATTTAATTTTAAACTTAAATAAACATACACAATTTTAGTAAAATAAAAGTATTGGTCCACAAAATACATACAAATATTATGAAGATACAGATATAGAAGTTCTAATTAAGAGTCGCACTCAGAGACATTGGTTCAACTAGTGGTGTTAAATGGTTTTGATCAAGGGATTGTTATATAAATATCAGTCATGTGAAATCATAAAAAGGAGTTCTAGTTCAGTTCTAGTTCAGTTCAGTTTCTAGTTCAGTTCCAGTTCAGTTCTAGTTCAGTTCTAGTTCAGTTCTAGTTCAGTTCTAGTTCAGTTCTAGTTCAGTTCTAGTTCAGTTCTAGTTCAGTTCTAGTTCAGTTCTAGTTCAGTTCTAGTTCAGTTCTAGTTCAGTTCTAGTTCAGTTCTAGTTCAGTTCTAGTTCAGTTCTAGTTCAGTTCTAGTTCAGTTCTAGTTCAGTTCTAGTTCAGTTCTAGTTCAGTTCTAGTTCAGTTCTAGTTCAGTTCTAGTTCAGTTCTAGT